CCACACGAATCAAGATACATACACCTTAAGATAGGATGGTGCGCATGTTGGGCGGGGCTTAATGACGTCACTTGATGAGTGTTTTTCAGGGCTGGATGCTCCCGCGGACGAGTTTTGGTTCGCGCCGCGCATGACGTCACCTGATGAGTAGTTGCAGCGCGAATACACGTATAATGCCTATATTATCAAAGAAAATAGACAAATATCTGGACATAGTGCGTTATTTTTAAACTTGATATTGAAAAAAATGTTATAATATGGATGATAGATGATTTGGAAAAATATTTGATACTATTTAAATCTATTTTTTGTTGTAAATTTGATATTAAAAGTATTTTATTAGTATGGATGCTAGTAATATTATCAAAACATAAAGAAATATCTGGACATAGTGCGTTTTTTGTGAATTATTATCAATAATACTACCACCAACCCCATTATCAGCAATTTCTGGTGGTTCTTCCACCCTATTAATTGATAAATTTAAAAATACACATATGAGCAGACTAATAAATGCTTAAAAACTTACGTGTCTCTTGACGCTAGAAGGATATTACTAATAAGTTGAGCCTTTTCCAAGTGTTCTTTGGGCTTTTCCCTTTTCTCACTTAAAAGTTTACGATTGTGTCCACTTGTTGACGGCACAGAAGAAACCTGAGTTTGAGGTAAATTTTGAGTAGGCACAGCATCATCTTTCAGTCCACGATAACGTTTAGGGCTGCAGTTTAAGAGTTTATGTTTTAAATTAAAGTTGTAGTCACTGTCCAGAAAATGTTTAGAGCAAACAGTAGCGCGCTTAACGTTAATTTTGTCTCTTCTTTTCGTTGCATGTAACCACTTTTTGCACAAACTTATGTTTTTCGGAAATCGATGGTATTTAATGTCTTTATTTGTAGGGTTTTTCTTGGACTGGTTGTCCGAAATGCATCTAAATATGGCATTTTAATAAATGCAAATGGCACAACACAAACTAATAGCACAAACAGAACAGGTTAACACAAAGCAATAACAATAATTTAAACACTGAAAAGTAATTCTAACCTTACAGAATGCAAAAACAACAAGTTAAACAAAAAAACAGAGCAATTTAACATCTAACAGCTTCGCAAAAACCAGAATTTTAGCGGCAGATAATTAAAACGAACGTTAGAGATTTAAAACTACTCATCAAGTGACGTCATGTGACGTATTTTAGCTCCGCCCACCATGCGCACCATCCTATCTTATGTTGTATGTATCTTGAGTGTTTTTAAATCTTTAACGTGCTTTTTAATTATCTGCTGCTAAAATTCTTGTTTTTGCGATGCTTTTGGATGTTAACTTGCTCTACTTTTTGTTTAACTTGTCGTTTTTGTGTTCGGTAAGGTTTGAATTACTTATCAGCGTTCAAATTATTGTTATTGGGTTAGGTTAACCTGTTAGGTTTGTTTATTATTGTTTTTGTGTTGCGTTAACTTATTTTGTTTGTGTTTTAGATTGTATAGTGCCATTTGCATTTATTAAAATGCGGTGTGGCATATTTGAATGCAATTCGGACAACCAGTCCAAGAAAAACCCTTTAAATAAAAACTTAACTTAACTTAAAACTAAAATTTAATCGATTCCCGAAAAAGTTTGATTTGTGGAAACAGTGTTTAAAAGCCACAAAAATAATAGACAATATTTACGTTAAGACCGCTTCTGTTTCCTATAAACATTTTCTGGACAGTGACTATAAGTTTAATTTAAAACACCAACGCTTAAACTACAGTCCTAAATGTTATCAAGGATTGAAAGCATCTATTATCCATATTATAACACTTTCTTCAATATTAAGTTTAATAAAAACGCACTATGTCCAGATATTTCTCTATTTCCTTTGATAATATTACTATTATTCGTGTATTCTCACGGCAACTACTCATCAAGTGACGTCATGCGCGGACCGAACCAAAACTCATACACGGGAGCATCCAGCCCTGACACGAATCTTCAAAATTCAAAACAATTTAATTTTCGAAACGTCGTTCGACGTCAGGTGGCATGGGACAAGTGAGTACGTATTGCATTGAAAGTTTTAATTTGAAACCTGTGTTATATTCCTGCATAACAAAACGTCGCGTAGCGAAGGGTGGCGAGGCGTAGGCCAAATGGGTTTCCAGCATAATGAAACACCAATTTTGTCCATATAAAGTGTTTAATTTTTGTACTTGTAACACCCAAAACATACAAATTTTGACTTTGGTTGAACTCCCGAAACGATGGAATGGAAGAATTTTTAATCAAACTTTTAAACAATATTCTACAATTTTTATTCAATATTTTTGAAAATGCAGCCGTTAAAAACTGCTTTTCGGAGCCTCTTAGAAAAGTATTTTCGCGGTAACCAAGGCAAACTTATACATACATTTTTTTATTTTTTTCAAAAAAAATGTACATTTTTTTATTACCAGATTTTTAAATATTTGGGTCTTTCTACAATGGAGGACACGAAATTTCGAAAGAAATCATTCCTTTGACGACCTTTTTTTTTTTTAATTTTAGTTCAATTTGTACCATTTGTATAAATAAAATTTAAAAAAACAAAAACATTTTTTTATGAAGGTTTGTTAAGATTTGCATGTTTTCCGTATCATCATAGGTAGAAAAAAATGCAAAAGTTAATTTTTCCGGAAATCTTCCAATTCTTCCGTTTGAAATGCTAGTACTGTTTTAACCTCTTTGTCCACAAAATATTTTTTTGAAAGAAAATAAAATGTATTTCTGTAAATGGACTAATTTTTTTCTTTAATTTTTTAACAGATTAAATAAATATTTTTTTGTATTTTATATGTAAAATGAACTAAAAATAATAATCATTTTTTACAAAAAGAAAAAACGGTTTTTCCGCCGGTCCAATTTTTCCTAAAATATAACATTCCAAAAATGGTTGTTATGGAAACATTTAAAATAGTGGGTTAACATGGTTAACAGATTTCTGATATTTCTGACAGTTTGTATAAAAAAATTAACTTGATTTTTAAATATTATTAGAGTGTTGATTTCTATACCTTTATACAGGGTGTCCTGAAAATGGCGCAATACTTTTATACCAACTAAATCCATCAAACCCCTAAACAAATTTCTCCTCAAACAATAAAATATGTAGTTTTTTTGTTTTTTTCGAAATTTGGGGTTTAAGTTAATTCTAAGATCCCTAAATTTATATTTGGCTATATTGAGTAAAACAAAATTATTTAGTGGATTTATGCAGCAAAAATTAATTATTTCATTAAAATGCTGTCCTGTATTTTGTTTATTAGAATGTTCTGTTATCTTTGGCATTGTTAATTATAATTCTAACATTTAAATAAAAGTAAAATTAAGGCAGTGAACAGATGTACCAATTTTAAATATTAAAAATACCAAAGTATATATATATATATATATATATATATATATATATATTGGTAAATAGTACCAAGTGACTTCCAAAATAGATACTCACTAGACGTTGTGACTTCATATATAACGATGTGACTTCCGATTTCGGAAGTCACTACGAAAAGTGCATTTTTTAAGCGCAATGTCATATAGAGGTCGAAAAAAGCGTTATTTCAAATTTTAGGTTGGAAGTCAGTGAGTGCCATATATACCTACAAAACTTTCCTTTAGTTCGGGTATATACCGCTGGCGCTGTTGTCGCTACAAATATTTAACAAACGGTACGATTTGACTTCCGCGTGGGCGTGACAATATAACTATCTTTGTTGTGCCTGCAGTTCAAGCTATACCTAACTCTCTCTTGTTAAATCGGCGTTGCCAAATCTTTATTCTCATTCCTTTAATTAGTAGAGTGATATTAATATCTCATAGCGCTGAGACGCTGCGAGACATTTAAGATCTGCCGCCTTTGGCTTTGAATCACTGCTTTTTTCCTTTATTCATTTTGTATGACAAAAATAATATTAGTTATAACAAATTAATATTATAACAAATAAAGGTTGTGTTCCGTATTTAAGTTTGTATTTGCTAAACAGCTGAGAATAATTATTTTATTTAATATTGATGAAATATTATTAATATTATATTAATCAAAATATTTCCTAGTAGGTATAATACAATACAATTATTGTCGTCCGCGTCGAAAAATTTATTTACAATTTTATTTACCATATTTTCCCTGCCGCTGTGTTGCCCGATTTTGAATGTGAAATTATTGTACCAAAATTATCGTTTTTGAACGTATTATGGTACGGTATGGAAAAAGAACAAATGAACTATGAAATTTAAGTAGGTAGTTTAATATGCAGTTATATTTTTTAAACAAAACTATAAAATAAAACCAATTATATCATTTTTAACTAATACAACAAAAAATACCTAAAGCACTGTACTTTATTTTAAAATAATGAAGATATTAAAATATTTATCTTCAATCGGTTATTGTTGTTAACACTCGTTACTGTAACTAAAGTGAGTGATTATGACCTAGTCACTTAAAAATGATTTATATCAAACAGGTTACGTTATTTACAGCCTGGGCTGTAAAAATCATTATTTTCTACTTTGGATCAATAAAAAAATCGAATCGACTTTTGTGAAATTTATCTAACATTACTTTCTTTAATAACTTTAATCATTTTACAAATATAATTGTGCCTTGAAGATAAAATGTTGTATGCCATTCGGCCAAGAAGTAAGTTTTTATGTGTTTCGCTAGGCGTCGGCCTTTAAACTTTGAGCTCGGCACAAAAAGAAGTAATTTTATTTTTCTATTTGTACCTAATAATTTTAAAATTATTGTACAAAAAGTGTACTAGCCCAGAAATATGTCTAAATATGCCAATAAATATCAGCATTGCCAACCCTAGGGTAGTATGTTTTTAGGTCGGCGAGTAATAGCGCGATTTAACGGATTTGCGACTTCTGCGGCGCAGAATCTGCGCGCCACCATGAGATATTACATACTACATTGTTTTAGAGGTTAGTATTGTGTTAACGTAGTGACTTCACGTAAAAAATAAATAAAATAGACAAAAATGCTGTCGAGGGGTCATCTATTAGTACAGATGGCTCGTAATAAAGGTAAGTAAGGCCAGACAATTATAAGTTTGTCCCACGCTGCTTGTTGTATTGTTTATTGTGTCGTCAAAGGATGCGCAGTTTGGAAAAAAGTAACACGTTTTTTAACTGCGCGGGCTTTGACGTTACAATGTATAGTTCAACAGTCAACTTGGGGCAAACCCTAAATTAAGTTGTTATACATATTGTTATACCCAAAAAATATAAAGGTTGTTTTTTATCTTCTCAACATGATAATCTGAATAACAAGTATGTCCAAATAAATTAGATTTATTTTATATTTTAGATGGACAAATTTCAACATCCGAAGAAGGATATAAAAATACTATTGCTCAAAGAAAGATAACAGTTGGATTTTATGAAAAAACCCAGGTATGTAAACTGGTTAACATAAAGCTGTTCAAAAAATACGACGGTCGATATTTAATAGATAATACTTACCTAAACAAGTAATACAAGTCTTGATTTTTGGGGTTTTCTAATAGGCCTAGAAACTGACAGATCAATTTATAGCACAGTCAAACTGTATACCGAATGATAAAAAAAATTAGCAGTAGGGCAATCTCCATATCAGGTGATTAATGGGCAGGTACTAAATCCCAGTTTGCAAACAAAACTTCCCGAGGGGTTTTTTGTTAGGGAATAATTGGGGGTGGTCGTAAATTGGTGCTAATCAGTAACCTGTAAGACTTGAACTCTGTGGGGTAAATTGTTCAGAAAAACTTGGGCAACACAGGGGGGAAGTCGTCAGGGCTAATTTTAATGGCAAAAAAGGGGTAATTTTTTAATTCAATTTCGCCCTTGGAAAAAATCAAATAATTTTATTTCAAATTACAAAGTTGTGGAGTATTCGACCCCATGGAAAAATGGTGACCCCCGAAAAAATTTAATAAAACTTCAAACAGTTTTGTTTTTTACTTAATAAGTCAAAAATCGAAAATTTTTCGGTCACTGTTTGAATAGGGTGGTCCTTAATAAGGTTATTTTCAAATTTCTTTGCTCCCAGGGGCTCAAATACAAATTGATAAAAAAAAAATTCCCTGAAAATTTGAGCTCTTAATATTAACTCTAAGATAGTGCGCATTCCAATCTAAGTTTCCTATGGAAATAACATAGGAAAAATTACTTTTGTTGTTTATAATTTTATATCTTGGGAATGAATGAATTAAAAATTATAAATTATACATATTTTTATAGAGAATTTAACGCTCTACAAAAAAGTTTTCCTATAATTTTTCCATTAGTCTATTGCTTTAAAAGTTATTCAACGCCAAAGTTTAATTTTCATATTATTATTAATATTATCAAGGCTTTTTTATGAGGCGCCGTTTGTGTCAAAATTAAAAGTGCTAAATAAACTTATTTTGTTTTATAAATAATTAATTTAATGCTTTACTAAATAATTTTTTTCTAAAATTATTTTTTTATAAAATAATTTTTTTTTAAATTTTTTTTTCTAAAAAATTTTAAAAAATAATTTTTTTATAAAATTATTTTTTTATAAAATAATTTTTTTTTATAAAATTTTCTTTTTTTGATTTTTAGTTTTGTTTTAAGAGAATTGATTTATTTATTTTAATTTGTTTTCAAGACAATTATTTTATTTATTTATTTTAGTTTTTAACAAGTGCTTTCTTATAAAAAACGTTTAAACATAAAGAATTCTTGTTAAAAACTAAAAATCAAAATAAATGTAGATAAAAAAATTAATGAATTAATGAATAAAAATAATAAATTATTATTTTCAATCGTTTCCCCAAATTGCGTCAAACAAAAGCCCAGTCCGTCATAAAATTGTATCTGGGGAGGGGCGTTCGGGTTTACTCGGGTTTACTCGAGTGTCTACAAACAAATAGAGATGGCTGCAGTAAAAATTAATTTATAAATGCGCCCGTCGTCTTTTATTAAATAATTTTTAATTCGAATTGAAAATTATTTTATAAATTTTTTTACAAAAAAAAATTATAAAAAAATTATTTTATAAAATTTTTTACAAAAAAAAAAATTATAAAAAAATAATTTTATAAAAAAATTATTTGGTAAAGCATATAATTAATTATTTATAAAACAAAATAAGTTTATTTAGCACTTTTAATTTTGACACAAACGGCGCCTCATAAAAAAGCCTTGATAAAATTAAACTTTGACGTTGAATAACTTTTAAACAAATAGACTAATGGAAAAATTATAAGAGACCTTTTTTGTAGAGCGTTAAATTCTCTATAAAAATATGTATGATTTATAATTTTTAATTTATTCGTTCCCAAGTTATAAAATTATAAACAACAAAAGTAATTTTTCCTATGTTATTTCCATAGGAAACTTAGATTGGAATGCGCACTATCTTAGAGTTAATATTAAGAGCTCAAATTTTCAGGGAATTTTTTTTTATTAATTTGGAAGCATTTGAGCCCCTGGGAGCAAAGAAATTTAAAAATAACCTTATTAAGGACCACCCTACTGTTTGAATGTATGAAATGTGCGCATCATTATCCTCTACATTTTTGTCAATGTGGGGCCACCCCAAATTATGATTTTTTTCACCCCTTTCGGGGGTTGAAAATTCGAAATGCAATTTTGGGAAAACTATAGTTTTCCCAAAATTGCAATTGCTATTGACCCCACGATATTGCCGCCATGAAATAATTTGTAGCTGACAGTTTTAAATCAATAAATTCTTTTTAAGATTTATATTAGGGTAGCAGTTATTTTTTTATATAGTTTAGTTTATTTTAACCGGACTGCACCTGTTACCTGTTTTTTGTAGAACTGGATTGAAAGTAGTAATTTTGACAAGAATCCTTTAGAATTTATCGACAGTGAACATGGCGATGAAGAAAACGACGAAAAAACTTATAGCGAATTAAAAGTCGTTAAAGAGTCCTCGTTAGAAAAAACTGTTGAAGAAAACGACGAAAAAACTTATAGCGAATTAAAATTCGTTAAAGAGTCCTCGTTAGAAAAAACTAATGTAAGTAATAAATTATACCTAATAGGTAATTTTTTTATTTTAATTTTAAGGTTTTTAAAAATATACTCCCTGGCACAAAATTCCGCCACCCTAAAATTTTGGCCAAGTTTGATGTTTTATAACTTTTTTATTTTCCATCCAATTTTCATGATTTTTTATGCTTGTAGATTCATTAATTGCGATTGTTATTTATTATTTTAATAATTTACATTTTTTGTTTAGGCAATATTATACAGAGGTAAATCAAAATGTTGTTTTTTGTATAACTTTAAAACACCCTGTGGGAAAATTTTGTCTTTGTGGTTGTTTACAAACTATTTGCTTAAATCTTAAATGTGTTTCAAACATTTTGTTTTTTGACTTATACCATTATCTCATTTCTTTAAAGAGCTGCACATTTTTGCATTTGTTATTAAGAAAAACAAACACTATAATATAGTGTTTGTATTATAATAACATTAATAAACAAAAACAAAAATTTTATTATCGTGTATATTCACCTCTCGCAGCAATGATAGCTTGCAATCTTCATGGCATCGGATAATAATTATAAGAATTATTCTTGAGGGAATATGCTCTGTCAGTGCCAGCTGTACCTCTCGACGACGAACGGCTCTTTTAAGTTCATTCAAAAATTTGTTATATTGGGTTGGGATCTGGACTACAAGCGGTCCATTCCAATCTCATCCAGAAATTCGCTCACTACCTGTGCAACGTGAGGCATTATCATGCATTAATGTGGTTAGAGCTCCATATTGGTATTCTGTCACAACAATAGCATATTTAGCCAATATCAATTATTTTTAACCAATAGCTGGACTTCAATTTTTTTTAAATACAGAAAAATTATCAGCGTTTTATTTAAAAACTTGCAGCTTGTAAAACAAAATGTTTTTACAAAATTTTCCGCCTCAATTTTATCACAGGATGTTTTGAAATGACAAATAACAACATTTTAAGTTACCCCTGTATAATATCGCATAAACGAAAAATGTTGATTATAATTATTATTATTATTATTATTACTTACTTATAAGAAAATAGTAAACAATCCCAATAAGTCTACAAACTTGTAAAAAAATCATGTGTATTATTTCACCACCAAAATCTGACAAACTAAATATTAATGGTTGTTCTTACGTTTCAACTTCAATTTTTAGTTTTGAGAATAACAATTTTGATGTATAATTAATAGAAGAAATTACAGTTATTTGGAAGTATTAGATATTTTTTTAATTGGTCTAAATATTACTTTTTAGATAAATGCGGTAAATTTGCATCCGAAAAAAGAATCCAGCAAACAAATAAATTTAAAAACTTCAGATATTTATGAATTTGAAAGCGATAGCCTTGAATATAATATAAATGATAATGATAGTGTCAAAGACAAAGATTTTAACATTGCAGAATATTCAACTGACACTACTAGTACATCTTCTAAAAGTCCTCTATTAACAGTAACTGACAATGCTATATGTGACATAGAGAAAACAATTCAACCCCCGTCTGAAAAAAATCAGGTATGTAAACTGGAATGTCCGAAAAATACGACGGTCAAAATTTAAAAAAGGAATACTTACACAATAAAAAAATTGTAGACAATCGAGTGATTTTTCGGGCGTACGCTCTTTTATTGGAATAGTACTGGGAACCGGCACAAATTTTTTTTCTTCAGTTTTTTAATTATATTTTATAATATAATATAAGTATACTTTTTAATGTATGGTTTTTGAACAAAATTAAATACTCGTATTACATATTTCCGAAGAAATTGATAAAGTTGCAAGAATTTGATTTTGTTTTAAATTGGCTTAATAAAATCTCTTTGAGAGTTTTATTAGGCTAGCAGTTAGATATTTTTTTACCAAGTGTACTTGTTACCGGTTTTTTTTGCAGAACATTAACCGTAGTCATTTTGATCAGCATCCTTTAGAATTTAACAGTGAATATGACGATGAAAAAACTTATAGCGAATTCAAAGTCGTTAAAGCGTCCTCTTTAAAAAAAATTAAAGTAAGTAATAAATGAAATTAGGTATGTATTTTATTAAATTTATTTAAATTTTAAGGTTTTAGAAAATATAATTATTTCTCCACCAAACTTTGACAAACCAAATAACAATTGTGGTTCTTACATTTCAAATTCAGTTGCTAGTTCTAAGGAAAATAATTCTGAATTGTCATTGATAGAAGAAATAACAGTAATTGGTAGTATTGGATATTTTTTAGTTGGTTTAAATTTATATTTTTAGATAAATGCGGAAAATTTTCCTTCGATAAAAAAATCCAGTAAACTTAAACAAATAAATTTAAAAACCCCAGATATTTATAATTATGAAATCGATAACGTTGAATATAATATAAATGATGATGTTAGAGATCAAGACTTTAATATCGCAGAATATTTAACTGACACTACTTGTACATCTGTGAAAACTGACAATGCCATATACGACATAGAGAAAACAATTCAACCACTATCTGAAAAAATTAAGGTTTATTATATTAAACAGTCTTATGTCTTACCTAGTAAATGTAATATTTGCAGATTGAGAAGAACAAAACAAAAAAACAAATTCAATGCAAGTATTGTGCAGAAGATATTCCCACCAAAAATTTCATGCGGCATTTACAAAGAAGGCACCCAACTGTCAAGGAAGTCGAAGAGTTAATGCAACTACCAAAAAATAGCAAAGAACGACGACAAGCAATGAGTTTGTTAAGAAATGAAACTAATTTTAATCTTTACTTAAAAGGAACAATAAAACCAAGTTATCAAAGAAATGAATCAGTGGAAGACAAACAATATTATCCATGTTCTTATTGTAAAGGATTATTTTTTAAGAATTATTTAAGACGTCATGTAAAAAAGTGCGTCATGTATAAGACGCACACTAACGAAGTTCAAGAAAGTTTTAGAATAAGTCATCTTTCGCGCTCTCATACACTTACTGCATGTGCCGCTGATCCTACCAACGTCATTTCTCAACTTAACGTTAAAGAACAGGTAAGTTTGTTTTATGATTCCTAAGTAAAAACTTAGTTCCAAACTTTGCACATTTTAGGTGTTTGATTTAATGAGAGGTGATGACATTGCATTAGAAGCAAAAAAAGATTTGCTTATTGCTCATTTTGGCAACTCTTATTTAAAAAAACACAGGCGGGAGCGCATGGCATATGTGTGCAGCAATCGTATGCGAGAACTTTCTCGTTTACTCATCACTTACCGAAAAATTACAAATAATAATAATGTGTCTCTTAAGAACATACTCCTTCCAAGATATTTTGATACAGTAATTTCTGCAGTAAGAAACCTGGTTGGATATGATCATTTGAAAAAAACCTTTAACGCTCCTAGTTTAGCGATGCATTTAGGTACCTCATTAAAATTTGTCTGCGATGAATTAACACACCTGATATTAAAAGAAACTGAAGGTTTTAAGTGTGTATCCCCTCAAGAAAAAGAAATTTGGTTACATGATATTAAAAATTTTAAGAAATTAATTGAATCTCGGTGGACTATTGAGCTTGCATCTCTTGCTAATAAAGATTTGCAAGAAAAACGATGGACCAAACCACTTATTGTGCCATTAGTCAGCGATATTAAAAAATTCCGCGATGAAATTATAAACATTGCAAATAATTGCGAACAACTATTTTCTAATAACAAAGACGATAAAAAAACATACAAAGATTTAGTTCAATGCACTTTATCTTTGTTAATTATTTTTAACCGAAGAAGAATTGGAGATGTCCAATTTTTAAAAATTAAGGATTACCTACTTGATAAAAAAACCGATTTTACAGATTTTGAAACCGTTTTAACAGAAGGGGAAAGAGTTTTAACTAACAACTATAAAAGAATTGTTAATGGTGGCAAGGGATCTAGGGCAGTTGTAATACTAGTACCAAAATTACTACAAAATTTTATTACAATTTTATTGGAGCACAGAAGCAAATATATATCTTCAGACAACGAATACGTTTTTGCAATGCCAGGGAGCAGAATAAAATGGGGTAAGGGAGATGTGGCCATAAGAACGCTAGCCGATAAAATTAAGCTAGATAATGCACAAGCCATTTCTAGCAATAAATTAAGGAAGCAAATTGCAACAGTAATGCAAATATTAAACTTAAACAAAGCTGAGATTAAACAATTTTCCGACTTTATGGGACATACATTAAAAACCCACGAAGAGTTCTACGAGTAAAATATATAATTATTGCAACAATGATTAACTTTACTAATGATTTTTTTAGACTCCCAGTCGATATTTACCAGACTGCAAAAGTATCAAAAATTCTCCTTATGATGGAAAAAGGAAGTATGCCAGCAGAATATAAAGGCAAGTCGTTATCACAAATAAATTTTGATGCTAATTTAGAATACGTAGAAGAAAATGATGAAATTTACGAAAATGATAAAGCCGGTGGTGAAAAGAAAAGTGATAAAATCCAAAATAATGGAGCAAAGAAAGATGGTAAGTTAATATACAAAATTATTTATTTTCAAGCTTATAAGCTATATATACTTAATAATTTTTACACTCATATAGAAAGAATTCATATTTATACTATTATACTATAATAGTTCAGAAGTTAAATTATTTTAAATCTCCGTACCAAAATTAAGCTAAAATGTCATCATGTCAGTTGGACCTAACCTAAAAATTCTGTGAACAAATCTTAAAAATTTTTCTGCTTAAAAAAGTAGTATATAAAACACAACGGGGAAAGCTTATTAATTGCCTCGCACAAAATCTATTTCCTTGGCTAGTGCCTCCTCTATAATATAAGGTTTCTCCGCCTGGTATATAATATACTATTTGCCACAGAATGCCCCAATGTAGAATGTATGACTTAAGATATTTTTTAAATATTTAGTAATAAAAAATATAACATTTAAGGAGACGAAAGTATTTTCAATCATGATAACGAAGAGTCAACACAAAAAATGGGTATGATTTTAAATTAAGTAGTTATATTTTTTAAGATATTTATGTTATATTTTACAGACAATAAAAATGAAATAAAATACCAAAACTGGTCATCAAATGGTAAAGGTAATTTAAAATGTATACTTAAATAAAGTGAAGATTTAAAAATCATGTTTGCTTGGTAGGTATGTCTAAATTAAACAAATTTTGAATTATTTACAGATTCAGACAGTGAAGGCAGTGAAGAATTACCGAAAAAGAAGAAAAAAATAGTTACAAAAAAAGGTAGGTAGAACAAAAGTTAACTAAATATAACTTTTTACAATTTTAATCATTTTTAGGTTGGACCAATATTGAAGTTGATTTACTTACAAATCATTTTAAAAGTTTTATCGAAACCAAAACATATCCCTCCGGAAGTGCAATAAGCCAGTGGATCCAGGCAAATAAGATAAATCGCACTGTGCCAGTGGTAAAATCAAAAATTCAACATTTGGTAAACAAATGTAAACTTGAGAATTAAAGTATATCTGCAATTTATTTGTATTTTTTTAAATATTTTATTTCACTAAATATTATTTTTTGTATTCTGTATTAGGTAACAACATTTTTATAGTTTGTTATTATTATTTCCATAATAAAAGAACTGTGTTCATTTTTTCTTAAATAGGTATTGTGTTTTAATATAAATTATTAATTTTCTTTACGTAAGTAATTAATTTTCTTTACGTAAGTAACAAAACTAGTTATAACGTAAAATAGAAATTCACGGTGAGCGACCTCTAAATATTAATATTAAGAGCTACAATTTTCACAGGCTTCTTTTTTCACTACTAGAAAGATATTTCAATGCGGGCTTTAAAGAAAAAAAAATATTCGATTTTTTTGAACCAGTCTAATATATATATGTATAAAATTTGAAATAACGCTTTTTTCGACCTCTATATGACATTGCGCTAAAAAAATGCACTTTTCGTAGTGACTTCCGAAATCGGAAGTCACATCGTTATATATGAAGTCACAACGTCTAGTGAGTATCTATTTTGGAAGTCACTTGGTACTATTTATCAATATATCTATATATAGTATTTTCACCTTTGGATACGAAGGAATTTTTATTTGGACGATAACTTCTGTTTTTTTAATGACCGGAAAACATAATATTTCTACCTTCGAAATTTTGCAAAACCCTTCACCCATTCGGTTGAGCTGTTTTTGATATTTCATGCTCATCGCATCTAGGAGCAAGTACTTTAGTTTTTATATTCGATACTACATACTGTATGTAGTTTGTTAATTCAATTATTAAAAAAAATCTAAAAAAAATTTATATGTATGGTATTAAAATTATATTGTTTTGATTTATTTATCATGTATACTGTACCAATATTTATTACAAGACTTTTTTTGGCATTTAACTGAAGTCTTTACTTCTTTTTTTAACTGAAGCATTTACTTCTTTTAAGACTCTATTTATTTCGTTAGTGGCTGTGTTAATTAATTTAGAGTAACGCATAATCTTTTTTAAATTTAATAAAATCAAGCTAAGAGTTGCTAATTGTTTTTATCAAAAGGCGTCTTAATAAAATAATAAAAAAAACTATTAGACTGATACAGACATTTGGTTTTTCTATGCAATAATATATGGGGTAACTTTTTGTTGCCATCTCAATTAAAATATAAATAAAAAAATTTGGGCCCCCAGGGCACCCTTAAATATTGGGCTAGAATGGCTATTTTTTTCTAAACATACTGTTATCTACTTTTTGTGGTTACCCCAATTAAAATATTAAAAAAAAATATATTTTGGGCCTCCGGGGCACCCTTAAATTTTGGGCTAGTACGCTCATTTTTTTTTCTAGAATTACTTTTAACATAAGGTAACTTTTGTGGTTACCCCCAATTAAAATATAAAAAAAAAAATATTTTGGGCCTCCGGGGCACCCTTAAATATTGGGCTAGTACGCTCATTTTTTTTTCTAGAATTACTGTTAACATAAGGTAACTTTTTGTTCCCACCCCAGTCAAAACATACAAAAAAAATATTTTGGGCCCCCGGGGGACCCTTAAATAATAGGCTAGTACGCTACATTTTTTTTCTAATCAATTACTTTTAACATAAGGTAACTTTTTATTACTACCCAAAAATAAATATCTCAAATATTTTTTTTTACGTTTTTCGGCCCGTGCTATGAAGATGAAAGTATACAAAAACATTATAAAAAAAGTAAATCATTATTTAGAAATTTTTTTAATTAATTGTTATATTTTAAGAAATAAATTTAGTCTCGTTTTTTTTATTATTATATCTGTACCGTACGATTTAGAAGAAATAAAAGATCAAAATCTAACATAGATGCATACTTAAAAATAGATGTTCATAAAAATTATAAATATAATTATTTTATTTGGAGCATTAAATTACTAAAAAGGTTCTATGTTTTAAATTTCAAGAAAATGGCATTTTTGTTTTTTATAAAAATAACCCATTTTGTTTTAAAATTTATGGTTCTTTTTAAAACCATTATTGTTCAAGATATTTAAGTCTATATGGTATCAAAATCTAGCTTATTCTTAAGTTAAACTTTTTAATAAAACATTCAAGATTATAAATTAAAGCTTTACAAACAAAGAAGTTTTATCGTTGTTTCTATTTAACACCTAGATAAAATTCTAGCGATATTCATTAAAAATTGTAAAATTTATCGCTTATGATTACAAGGCTAACATAGACATTAAATTTTACGGAGTTTAGTTATAAGTTATGTTTTAATTGGAATAAAATACGCAAATTAATAAACTTAAAAATTAGCTAAGATGAACAAATTTTGTTCTCAAAACGTGCCCAAAAAAATTTAAAACGTGCCACTCATGAGCCATGAGTCATGGCACGCGTGCCATAGGTTTGCCATCCCTGACCTAGAATATTAATAACCCCTTTGAGCAGAAAGGGAAAATGTTCTTAACTTCAAAAAATACGTAACTGTCAATATTAATGAACACTTGATAATTTGTAATAAAATAATTTTCTTTACATAAGTAACAAAACTAGTTATTTTTATAATAAAAATACTTTTTTGTACGTTTCTCCCTAAATAGGTATTAGGTTTTAATTTAAATTATTGATTTCTTTCCGCAAGTTAACAAATTATAGTTGTAAATCTAACTTCTGATATCTGGCAACACTGCTGGAAGTTAGTACGACGTGACCGTAACTCTTTCATATATATGCGGAAGTGACTTCGTATATTAGTTGCTTCCAAATATATACATTTTAATTCTTCACAAAATGCTTCCCCTCTTTTGACAACCGAATTGTAGACCTTCCCCTCTTTCAAACGCACCCTAATATATACGTTTAAAATAACTGGTAATACCGGAGGTCAGGGCGCCACGTCAACCTATCGGAAGTCACTGCTTACCAAACACCAATATATATATATATATATATATATATATATATATGTGTGTGTGTAGGTACTAACATAATCAAATGTGTCAAATTTTTAATAAAAAAAATTTACAAGAATTTCTTATTTGACAGATAAATAATAAATCAAAATATTGTCATTTATCTGTCAAATTATTAAATTTTTGATAATGTAGGTTATTTAAATGTCATTTCCAAATAAACAACTAACAATTTAAATTTAAAGTTTATGAAGACACTTTATAACTTAAAACTCATTAAAATATTATTGTACTTAAGTTTTAAGGTAAACAACTTAATTTTAGGTAAAAAACACAAAAATGCTTACCATCAAAATCCTCTGCTTTTGAATCTGTACTGATAGCTGCTGATAGCATTTCCCTACACTTTAAACGAACAGAGTCTGTGGTATTTGAATTGGGTGGATAAGATGTTGTCTTTTGTTCTTTGTCCCTTTCTTTTTCTTCTTTGGCAGGTTTCTTTTCTTCCTTTTCTTTTTTAGGTTTTGAAGAGCTACTGGATGATTCTTTACCTGGGGTTCCTGAACCCGATAAAAATTTCTTCCAGTTTTTAATTAGTGTTTTTGAAAGACTTATAACCTCTTCGTCTGTGCTGGATTTCCTGAGGGCATTGACTGTCATACCGATACGGGTTTTTGTCAATACTTCCAGGTTTATGTCCAATCTTTGGAGTTCTTTCAGTAAATCTAGAGCTTGTTCTTGTCCCTAAAATTAATTTAAATTTGAATTTCCCGCCATTTCTCACAGTAAGCGGTTTCGTTTGTTGATGCAAAAATAAAACAAATGCATTTACACACGTGATTGGCCACACGATAACTCAACACAAAACCGCCTGCTTGGACTATTTTCGAAAAACCACCGGATAATTATAAACTTACACTTCCATCTTCTGACGTCATTTTACTGAGTTTTTTCTGTAGCCTCATCACTTCCTCTTCCACGGTCATCTTGTTCGATTCTTTGGGGGCACTCGGTAACACAAACAAACTTGGCGAATTCACGCTGAGACACGTTTTGGTTTACAAAACGACGCTTCTGTTACGAAATGACTGTGCCCGACACCAGCGCTATCTTATCTGAATCGGCAAGTTACTAACTTGAAGTTAGCTTCTTCCAATGTTGCCAACCTCAAGTTCGCTTTTTCCCTCAACTACGTAAAAAATTCCCACGTGTATAACAAAAATGTATGCCAAAAAACATAATAATTAACATGGATAGAAAATACGTTGAATTTTGTAATTTAGACTTGATTTAAAATATACCGTTTCATGTAAACTTTTCCTGCAAAAAGGGAAATTTCTCCGCTGGCAACAATGCTTCTTTAATGCAGCAGGAAACCGGGTAGGAACCAATCAGCGTGCACTAAAGACGCGTGCGCAATTGAATTCTTCAGCTCAAACTGTCAATTTATTGATGGTTTTTAAAAGGCCTTATTATTTTTTATAACTTATTTTTGATGGATCGTTAATTTATGCAACCAACTTTTAAAAGAACCATACGTTGAAATTATTCAAAGACAATGTGACATGGTGTTAAATTAAACTGTCAAAGTGGATTTATTGTGTTAAATAAACAAGAAGTGGTAAATTTTAAATATTTATTTTCCAAAGTGTAAATGATTCTTTTTACCGGCTCATTTCTACTTAGTTTGTTTTATTTTTATGATGTTAAGGAGCTTTTTACATTTAGGAAGGTTAGGTGGCCTCAGAGCTAGCCAAACTATAAAAAATTCAATATCCCTACAAGTATGTATTAAAGTTAACATTAAATCGATTTTTATTAGTATTTAACTATTTTTTTGAAGGTAACTCACAGAAATAATCAATATTTACTATATAGCACGTCTAAATCACAAAATGTCTACTTGGTGTATGAAGAGAATGATTATGAAAATAAGGTAGACAATGTGAATAAATTCACAAACCGTACTTATACTTGTGGTGAATTACGGTCTGAAAATATAGGCGAAAATGTAAATTTATGTGGTTGGCTGGAATATCAACGAATGAACAAATTTATCGTACTTAGAGACAGTTATGGTGAAACCCAGCTAATTCTTAAAAATGATGATGATAAATCACAAAAATTGCTGTCTGAAATACCTTTAGAATCTATTATTCAAATACAAGGTACAGTATTATCACGTCCAAAAGATATGTTTAATAAGAAGCAAGTAACTGGAGAAGTTGAAGTTAGAGTGGAAAATTTAAAAGTATTAAATAAAGCAAGGGATACTTTGCCTTTTAATATCAGGGAGTTTCAAAAGGCCAAGGAATCTTTGAGGATGCAGTATAGGTATTTGGATTTGAGGTTCCCTCAAATGCAGAGGAATTTAAGGGTGAGATCTGAAATGCTTATGAAAATGAGGGAGTTTTTGGTGAATAACCATTTTGTTGATGTTGAGACTCCCACATTGTTTAAAGCCACTCCAGGGGTAAAAATTTTCAATATTTTTATTTTTGCAGTTATGTTGTTTTATTGGTTTTTAGGGTGCTCAAGAATTTGTAGTGCCAACTAAATTTCCTGGACAATTTTATTCTTTAGTCCAAAGTCCTCAACAATTTAAACAAATGCTTATGGCTGGAGCTCTAGATAGATATTTTCAAATTGCTAGATGCTATAGGTATAACATTTTTATTATTATTTACTCCCACAATTTAATACATAAATTGGGAAAAAGTGAGGTTAAACCATTTGACAGATGTCAGATTGGTAATTTTTTTTTTTTAAATGAGCTTGACATGTTTTAATTGTCTAAAATATAATTTAGATGAAATTCCTTGCAAGAAAATAAAAAAAAAGTATTAAAGAAAAAATGAAAACATCAGATTTTTTCTAATATACAGTGTGACCCATTTGTTTGCAACTCACCCCTGTAAAATCTTGTATTGTGCGATTTTAACCGGATTAGTTTTAAAGTGTAGATTTTTGGAGTAAATAAAAAACATATTTTTACAAAATATATGGCATACTTACAATGTCAGTTTTTGAGAATAATTCATATTAGCGATTTTAAAAAAATCTATGCATGGCACTGGATTCACGACACCTCAAAACGACCCTATCCTAAACTTAAGTAGGAACAATATTGTAGCCAAATTAAAAATGCACAATAATTACTATTTATTCTGTCAAGTTATCCATGAAAAAAATGAAAAATAAAAAACGCAATATAAACTTCAAATCAATGAAACGAAAAATAGAGAATTCCAAAAAGTCTCTACAATTAACTGTTTCAAGGATAACTTAGGTCAATTAACTTTTAGAATAAATATTGTATAAAAATGCCATTTAAAAATGTTAATTTTTAAGAATTATTAAGTGTATTGAAATAAATGGTGAATTAGTAGAGGCGACGAAAATAAAATATAATTAAACTCCTACTACCCAGCAAACACATAAGTCTGGTAATGTAATGGCCCATTACAGCGTTTAATGGTTAAATGATGGCATTTTTAACCCAAGCTGTTCTTGTACTGGGCCTCTACAGGAATTTTTCGTTAATAAACGTCAATTTAGACCAAAGGCTGTCGTGGTAAGGTCTTGCAATGGCCCTTTTCAGGCAATGATATGTATAATTTAACATTAAAGGCCCACATATGGTAATTATAAGTATCAAGTTAATGGAACTGTAACACACCATTACAGTGCCAAATGTTTTCCTTTGGTTTACACCATATTTACTAATGAATTGCCTCATGTTAGTGGTATTATGCATATGCATGTAGAAATGAGATATATTAATTAATTATCTAATAGGTGTATTTTATAATTAATTATTAATGAAGTTCAGAACTAAACAACTAGGTAGTACCTTTTTCAAGTAAGTATTTTTACTGTACAATTTTTACATTAATGTCGTACTATTTAATAACCTAGGAAATACCCTAGTAGAAATTTTACGTAGAAACAACGTTTTTCCCACGTTGGCAAAACCTAACTTTTATGTATAATTTTATGTTGAAATGTCCCGGTTTATAACGTTATCTGACAACGTTAGTTTTTAATGTTATAAAAAACGTGGGATTTACGTATTATAAAACGTTGCAAATACGTGGGTTTTGTGTATTATACAACGTTGCTTTTATGTATTATAAAACGTTGCAAATACGTGGGATTTGTGTATTATACAACGTGGGAAATATGTGGGTTTTGTGTATTATAAAACGTTGGAAATACGTGGGATTATTGTATCATAAAACGTTGGATTTTTTTATAAATTTGGGTAGGATTTTTCTTTATTATTGGAAAATTTAATATATATTTAAAAACAACAAAAATTTATTGTACAAAAAAAATACTTTGGAAAAAAAATTCCCAATTAACAAAATCTAAAAAATATTATCTAATAATATTATACTTAAAGTAAACAAATTAAATTATAACAAAATAGCTTTAACAAAAAATTTACAATGGTATTTTAAAAAGAAAAAATATTGCCTATATATATAACAATTTTCTATACAAGATACTACAACTTTTAAATCAATATTAAAATTAATTAAAAATACCCAATTAACAAAATCTAAAAAATATTATTAATATAATATTATATACTTAAAGTAAACAAATAAAAATATAACAAAATAGCTTAGACAAAAAATTTTCAATGGTATTTTGAAAAGAAAAACTATTGCCTATATTCATATAGGTATTAACAATTTTCTAGATACAAGATACTACAACTTTTAAATCAATATTAATAAAAATCTAAAAAATCCTATTTAAATATTAACTAGAAAAATTCAAATATAAGTAACATAACTTAAAACATGGCCTAAAAAAAATAACAATGCTGGTATTTTAAAGAGAAGAAATATTGCCTATTAACAATTATTACAAATTTTCTAAATAAAGGATTAAACAAATTATAAATTAGCAACAAAAATAAAAAGTCAAAGAAATTTAAGTAGTTACCTAGTTAAAATATAAGTCTAAATAAAACAATTAACAATGAAGGTGAGTTTAAAGTCACAAATTTTTAATTTTCATTAAGGGTTTTGATGCTTGGCAAAATAAATTTTAGCAATTACGAATATATAAGAAAAAATGTGAGGATTTTTGCTTTTGAATAAAAATTTAGAGCACAAGCATTAAAAGGAAAAAATACAAGCAAAAATAGTATTTTTGCCTATATTTTTTTATACACTTGAAAGTTTTAAAATTGATTTTGTATAGTATACAAATTTATTTATTAAATGCAAAAGATTGTGACCTAAAATTGATTTACATATGGATATAATTTATTAATATAAAAATTATTAAGAACCTTTGATTGTTAAAAAAAATCTAATAGATTTGGCTGGTAACCAACACACAATGGTAAATGATCTCCTCCAGTGTCAGCAAACATTAGAAAAGTTGAAAAATAGTTTAATATTCTGAGTTTCCTTTTTTCACAACATTTTGTTGTTTCCCTGGGTAACCAGGTGCTGGCAAAGCATCCCTTATTTCCTTTACTTCTGAAAAAATATTGGTTTATCACATCATCATGAACTTCTGATCTGGATCTTTTTAGATTTTTAGCATTCCTTTGAGTAATCACAATTTTTGCCTCCGGAAAGAATTTAGCCAGTCATTGCCAGGAAGGTTTTCTTTAAAGCAACTAATTATTACTGCTTTGTGGTTTAGATATGACTGCACTCTTTTGTCTCTTGTCTTGCAAAAGATTATCCATTATCCGCAGATCATCTGTGGCAGATGTAATCATTACACTTGCAATCTACCCAAAGGATAGACGATTGTTTATCACCTCTGCCACGGCCAATTCAATATTTTCTGGGTGATAATTTCTTTGATACACTGTTCCAGGAACATGTTTATGCTTTTAAGGCATCGTCACAGAACAAAACTTATTTTACATAAGGCATCGTCCAAATAACCCTAAAATTTTTTGGATTAATCCATGCAAAAAGCAACTGTTTAAAAAAAACACTAACAAATTGTTTGTGGTGATTGTTTAGGTTACTAAAAGTTATTTGCCATCCCTATCAGATAAAAATTACCTTATCTTTTAATTATTTTTCCAAAAAACACGGAAGAATTTGCACAAAATTTCGCACGATGTCAACACTTAACCTAAAATAAAGAAATAAACACTTCGTGATAGAGCGGTAAATTTGAATTTTTCTTCGTTTGTTCCGTGTAACCCATAGAAATAATACCACAGAATTTTGTGATAATACTATGGTGTAACCTCTGTTGTTCCATCACCTAACTACGATAGTAAACCTTTATTGAAACTATAATAATTTTAGGTTTTATGTATTTCGGCCTTATTTTTAAAACTAAATTATATTGCATAGTTAAATTTGATTTTACTTTTATAACTAATGTTACAAAGACTAAAAATTTTAAAAAAATCCACATTAAAAATTTTCTCGACGGGACTTAAAATAATTTTATGTTGCTAAATATGTGTGTTTTGGAACGTTGCTGCAACGTTTCTAGCATACAATTTTACAACGTAGTTTGAAAGTGGGTTTTGTGTATTTCGATCGTATTTTTGATATTATATCTTTAAAAAATGTATTGCAGAGTTTGATTTTACTTTTATAAATAATTTATTATAAAAAATAAAAAAAATCCACAATAAAAAATTTGCCGACGGGACTTAAAATAATTTTATGTTGCTAAATGTGTGTTTTGGAACGTTGTTGCAACTTTTCTAGCATACAATTTTACAACGTAGTTTGAAAGTGGGTTTTGTGTATTTCGGTCATATTTTTAATAATATGACTTTAAAAATGTGTTGAAGGGTTTTATTTTACTTTTATAAGTAAGTAATGTATAATAAAAAAAAATTGAAAAAAAAATCCTCAGTAAAAAAATTTTCGTCGGGACTTTGAAAAAATTTTATGTAGCCAAACGTGGGTTTTGGAACGTTGTTGCAACGTTTCCAGCAATACAATTCTGCAACGTTGTTTGAAAGTGGGTTTTGTGTATTTCGCTCATATTTTTGATATTATGACTTTGAAAATGTGTTGAAGGGTTTTATTTTACTTTTATAAGTAATGTATAATAAAAAAAAATTGAAAAAAAAATCCCCAGTAAAAAAATTTTTGTCGGGACTTTGAAAAAATTTTATTTAGCCAAACGTGGGTTTTGGAACGTTGTTGCAACGTTTCCAGCAATACAATTCTGCAACGTTGTTTGAAAGTGGGTTTTGTGTATTTCGCTCATATTTTTGATATTATGACTTTGACAATGTGTTGAAGGGTTTTATTTTACTTTTATAAGTAATGTATAATAAAAAAAAATAGAAAAAAAAATCCTCAGTAAAAAAATTTTCGTCGGGACTTTGAAAAAATTTTATGTAGCCAAACGTGGGTTTTGGAACGTTGTTGCAACGTTTCCAGCAATACAATTCTGCAACGTTGTTTGAAAGTGGGTTTTGTGTATTTCGCTCATATTTTTGATATTATGACTTTGAAAATGAATTGAAGAGTTTTATTTTACTTTTATAAATAATGTATAATAAAGTATAAAAATTTAAAAAAAAATCCTCATTGAAAGATTTTCGTCGGGACTTAGAAATAATTTTATGTATCTAAACGTGGGATTTGGAACGTTGCTGCAACGTTTCCAGCAATACAATTCTGCAACGTTTCCAAGACAACGTTTTAACTACGTATTTCCCACTTAAAATCATACATTAAAATAACGTTTCCAAGACAACGTTTTAACTACGTATTTTCCACTTAAAATGATACACTAAGACAACGTTATGAGTATAACAAATTATTATACAAATTTGCAACGTTGTCTGAATGTATGCAAACGTTATTTTCTACCAGGGTAGCTATTTCATGTGACCTATTTTAAAATTTTAAATCTTCTTTTAGCGCACCATGTTTTGAATATTTAACCCTATTTAATTATCTCTATTCAAAACGAAGCTTTTTTCTAGAAAAACTTGCAAATTAGAATCCCATTATAAGACCATTCCTACAGTGCACTGCAGTCGTCAATGATTTAGCAATAGAATAGAGATTCTTAGGCATGTGATTTAGCCATATATCCATTGTGCTAAAGACTGGACTAGAGACTGGATTTATCTACTTAATTTGTTTTTTGTTCAATTTAATTCATTCGATTCCTTAGAAATGGAAACTGTTGAAATTTGATTTTATTTTATAATATTTGTTAAGTTTTTTTTATTTAAATATGTTATATAATTATGTTTAAATTACATGTATTTTATAACACATTAAACACTTTGTATTTTTTAATTTTTTGAAAGTTTTAGGGACATTAATGGAATTCCATAATAACGAAATTTTTGTAATATAGGTAGTAAAGTATAGGTAGTAAAGTACCTATCTATTATGGTGGATTAAATTTGGTAGGTATATATTTATTAGGTCGGATATTACACGATAATCGGGAATTTTTTATCCCTACCGTCAAAAATCGGTCGGGATAAAATATTTCAATTATCATGGAATATCCGTACCTAGTAAATATATAGGTACCACATTTAATCTGACATAATAGGTACTTTACTTATCCATTAAATAATATTTAACTAACCACTATAGAATCTTTAACACCCCATATAAGAACCTTTAGCTTGCCACATTTGTACCTTTAACCTGCCATATCGGAACCTTTACCGGTTCTTGTAAGTGTCTTTATCGACTGCCGCCACATGCCCATAAAAGGTGAACGCGACATAATATGTAGAGGTCCATTAAAGTCAGCCTTTATAGGGCCTTTAGTTTATTAAAGGCACGCGTTTAAAGGGCCATTACAGAACCTTTACGGTTGTGTTTGCTGGGTAGTGACATGGTATAAATATTCTTATATTTAATTTTGAAAAATAAAAAACGCAATATAAACTTAAAACAACAATGAAACGAAAAATAGCCCAAGCAGCATTTTTGGTTCCAAAAACCATTGGCAAAGTGGTGATAACTTTAAATTAGTTAAGTATACTAAACAGCTACTTAAATTTTTACTTACAAGTAATTCTAACTTTTAAATAGCAATATTTTGTAACAGAAACTTAATTTTTCCCTAAATGGTTACTATAAAGTAATAAACATTTAAGTAAAACTTGGTTGCCCCCAAGAAGACTTTGCAACTTTAAAAAAGGTGTTATAAGTAAAAAAAACTTTCAAGTAAATTTAATTTGTAGCAGTTACTTTCGGTTGCTACCTAAAGATTACATTATAGTTATTTTTACTTTGTAGTCCCTTTGCAAGTTAAAATCTCGAAACTGGAACATGAGTTAAAAACTACAAAGTTAATAACTTAAAAGTTATTATTTTAGTATTTGGAACGTTTATGGTACTAACCAAAACAACCGTAAAGTGCAAAAAAACTTTAAAGTAGCGAAAACCACTTCAAAGGAAAATGATTCTTATCGGCCATTTTTTACTGTACAGTACCACGTGGTAATGTAAATAATAAATTATTTTAATTGTTTGTAAATGGTTGTTTACTTTTTAATAAATAGTAATTTTGTTGGTAATAGACGGTATTAATAATTAAATAAAAAAATTAATAATAAATATTAAGATTTTTTTATTTATAAACATTATTAAATAAATAATTTGTTTATACTTAAATATTGATGAAGCGCATTTATTTTACAAAAACTAAATTCATAAGTTCAACAGTAAAAGTTAAAGGGTTCATAAATTTACCTGCCTAATTAAATATTATATTGTTATTCTGGAAGTTATAAACTACCAGTACATATTTAATAAACGACGACATTGAAAAGCCAAGTCCGTAGTGGTTCCATTTAAAAAAGGAGGGATAGTATAATCTATAGATTATAATATAAGTTTGACAAAGACAGTTAATATAGAAGTGAAAACAAATAAATAAAAGTAATTATAACGCTATAGCAACGATATTGGAACGTTCTAGTAACGTAGCAGCTACGTTCCAAATGGTAGCAGGGTTTGTAGCTAGTGACATATTTGTTACCTTTTTGGAACTCAATAATTGTTCCCCACTTTAGTCGTAACATAGTAATAAAAGAGTAATATAAAGAGACCGGCGACTGTCGCAAAACACTTTAAAGTTTCTTCAATAGTCCCTGTTTTATGGATAACTTAGGTCAATTAACTTTTAGAACAAATATTGTATAAAAATGCCATTTAAAAATGTTAATTTTTAAGAATTATTAAGTGTATTGAAATAAATGGTGGATTAGCTAATCCACTAGTGGAGGTGACGAAAATTCAATTTACGAAAAATAGAGAATTCCAAAAATTCGAGATCTCTACAATTGAATTTTCGTCACCTCCACTAATCCACCATTTATTTCAATACACTTAATAATTCTTAAAAATGAAACGAGTTTCATTGTTGTTTTAAGTGTATATTGCGTTTTTTTTTCAAAATTAAGCATAAGAATATTCCATGTTACTATTAGTTTAATTTTATTTTAATGTTTTTTTTCATGGATAACTTGACAGAATATTTTTTTGTAAATAGTAATTATTGTGCATTTTTAATTTGGCTACAAATAGTAACCCTTGTACTTTGTAAAAATATCTAGTTTTTTGCTCCAAAAATATAGTTTATCAAGATCTACACTATAAAACAAATCCGGGTAAAATCGCACAATAAATAAAGATTTTACAGGGGTGAGTCTCAAACAAATGGGTCACACTGTTTATGAAAAGCGCAATTCGACTTTTGCTACCTTTTAATAGATGGCAAGAGAGAAAATCGTTATTTACGCGTTTTTACATCCTTGTGCGGAGCATAACGCATAAACAAAAATTTTATTGTACCAACCTAAAGACAATTAAATAAGTTAAGAAAGTTCAGTCGTCCTCAAAAGCCATCAAGAGCTTAAGATATGGATTTTGCTAATAAATTTACAAAATTATTTTGTTTGGGATTTTTAAAACAATATTTTACTAATATTTATTAAAGGGATGAAGGAAGCCGCCCAGATCGCCAGCCGGAGTTTACTCAGCTCGACATAGAGCTCTCTTTTACCGACCTAGAGGGCGTTCTCAAAATGATAGAAGAGTTGCTTTGCTATTCTTGGCCTACTTTTCACAGTCCTTTGCCTAATAAATTTAGTAGGATGTGTTTTAAGGACGCCATGGAAAATTATGGGACTGACCAACCTGATGTCAGATTCGAGTATAAGGTTTAAAGTTTTTAACGATTTTTCAATGATTTTAGTTTTTTTGTATTCATTAAATCATTGAGATTCATTAAAATTTTTTAGTTACAAAATTGTACAGATATAATCAAACTAAACGAAAGCATAGTAAACAAAACTAAGGACTTTGGCGCATACTATCTACAATTTCCTAAAGAATATGCAAACTTGAGTAAATCAGTAAAAGATAGTATGAGCCAATTGGCTAAAAAATATCCAAACGTGAAATTAATACAAAACAAAATATCAAATCCTAAAGACTGGTCTTCTAAGGTGACAAAACTGTTGAGTGATAAAGTAGCTAATAGGTTTATTGAGGAATGCAAATTAAAGGAGGATTCTATTTTGTTTATGGCTTACGGCGATAAAAAAGAAGTGGTAAATGTTTTCCTTTGCAGTAAAATGTCTTTTTTAAGCTAAATGCAACATTTTTTAGTTGGGTTTGTTAGGTAAAGTAAGATTGGAATATGTAAACTTCTTGGAGAATCTTGGAGTCACCATAAGAAAAAAAGGGTACCACTTTTTGTGGGTCGTTGATTTCCCACTCTTTGAAATTGACGATGACGGTAATTTAGGATCACCACACCACCCTTTCACATCACCACACCCTGATGACGTCCATTTACTTGAAACTAACCCCCTAAAGGTAACAAATTGTTTTTTGTGAATATTTTAAAAATTACTTTTGTTACAAACCTACAATTTTAACGGAAGTATAAAGTCGGTTTACTTAACAAGTTGTCCAAATTTCAGGTTTGTAGTTATTTTGGATTTTAAAATAAAAATAATTAAAGTTTTCATAGTTGGGCGCCAAAAAATGTCAAGTCTGTAACTCAAAAACTAAAACTGCTAGAACCTTGCAATTTAAAATGTCCATTAGGATAAATAACTTTAAAAATATATTAAAATTTTAACATCACAGCTTTTGTACTTTTTGAGAAAAACCTGAAAACTTGTTTTAGGTTAGGGCTCTATCCTATGACTTAGTCCTCAACGGCAACGAAGTAGGCGGGGGCTCAATACGTATCCACGACCCCCTCCTCCAAGAAACCCTCCTAAAAATGCTAAAAATCGACAAAACGTCCCTACAGCATATCCTTGACATGCTGGCCTCTGGATGCCCCCCGCATGGCGGTATAGCCCTGGGTCTAGATAGACTTTTAAGTTTCGTACTTAGCACTACTAGCATACGCGATGTGATTGCTTTCCCTAAGACTTTTGAAGGGAGAGATCCTGTTAGTGGCGCTCCTTCGACTTTATCAGAAAAGGATCAAAAACTATATCATATACAAAGTTTAAATGTTGATAAGAGTTAAGTTTGTATGTTTTTTGATATTATAAGGCTTGTTGAGTTTTAAGAGTTTGTTTTATTTTATGTTGTATAAAAAACCAAATCCCCAATTTAAAGTTTCCAATTATTTCTTCTTTTTGGAACAAAACTACTATGTACCTATGTTCAAATTCGCGACTCTACTTTCTATAGAATCAGGTGAAGTGATTAACCAATAAAAGCACTGCATTCTCCGTCGCGATCTAGTATGCGGTGGAGAATACCTTCCTCTGATTGGTTAATCACTTCCAATAGAAACCACTTCTAATGCTGGCCTACTAGAATAGCTTTAATTCGCGAACAGCGTACAACTGTCATTAATTTATGTCAAAAAGAAATTTTTAAAATGTCTGTTCATAAAAGCAAAGTCCTTGAGGTGTACAAAAAAGTCCATAAAATAAGAAAAACTATATTCTTCAATGACCCCTATGCTCTTGATGTGTCCAGAGATATGGTAAACAACGAATTCAAGAAAAATAAAGATATCACTGATGAAAAAGAAATTTTAAGGCTCATTGAAGGTGCTAAAGGGTTTGGAAGAAGTATTGAAGAAGGAATTATTAATGCTAAAGAGGGTAGGACAAAACTTAAGTTAACAGCACAATAATGTAAATTTTTTGTAGTTTCATCAAAATTTTTAAAATAAAATTGGTTGGATTTGAATATTATTTATTAAATAATAGTTAAGTAGCATAATAATAAAATTAAGTTAAAGCATTGTATTGACTACAATTTATATAAAACTTATTATTAATCACAATTAAGATAAGTTGACTTGTTCTTTTTTGGATAAAATGGGTGTTGCATTAACATCTTCAGATTCAGTTGATTTAGAAGATGATGCTGATATTTTTCTCAATGCAATTGGAATATGAAGTTTCTTCTTTAATTCCATCCAAATTCGTTTTTTGCAGATAAATATAACAAATACAAATACACCTACAACAATAAATAATTGTAGGTACATATTACGTTAATAACAAAATCACCAAAACAAAATTTGTAATTTTTTGTCCTAAAACAGTTGGTTTTGGCGGTTTTCACTATACATTTTTGTACATTGAATTACTTCAAACTACACATCGTTTAAAACTTCAGGTGTCCTTTGAACACATTTTAAAAGGAACATTTTCTAATTTAATGGTATCTTTGGTGATCTCAGCCTGATATTTTCCAGGTGCGACTTCCTTGGCTTGTATGACGCATAATCGCAATTGTTGTTCCACATCCTGTGAATATTTGATTAACTCTTCGATAGCCCCTTCATCTTTAACATGTTTGTTTTTCCTGAATTCTTCGTTTATTTTGTTTCTGGCCTCGTTTAACGCGACCGTGTCACCACCAAATACATTTTGACGCGTTCTGTGCAACAATTTAAAGCTTTCCAGAGCTTTATTTCGTAAATTTAAAGCCATCGTTTTTGTTGGTTATGTTATGTAAGAGTTTGGCGACATCTAGCGGCGCTTAAGAGGTTAGAATTTTTAGGGCTGCAGGTGTGTACCACCAAAGATCCACAATTATTTTTGGGCTGTATGTTGTTACCTACCTTGCAAACAGTTTATTGTGTCCCAGACCACTTCGATGTATCTAGTTACGGGATGTTTAGCCATATCAAAGTAAGCCGATATGACTTCAAACACAAATAATAATCCCATGATGACCGACAGTTTTGTGATCAGGTTTAATCTAAAAATGTTAACTATAGAGTACGGGTAGTAGGTTAAACAGGTAACATTACTTTTCTTTATCGACAATAAATGATTTATCTCTCTTACGTCTAATTGACGCGCTTGTATCGTTCATTCTATTAATTTCGTTTTTAACTTTAAGACAATATCTTATTGTCTTGATAAATAGAACTGTGTTGATAATTTCCAGTATTAAGTGGGGAACTTCTTTGAACACTACACTGCCGTAATTGTTTGGTACTAAAAGAAGACAATGTTTTTTAATATTAATAATCATAATAATACAATGAAAACAATTGTTTTCTTACCTTTATTATCTAGGTAACATTTTCGTATACCGACAAATGGATGTATTGCATAAGGAAGAGCATTTGTTTGATTGGATATTAAAATCAAAATCGTAAGGAAAAGGGGAACTCCCCAGCCGTATAAAAGGTACAGCAAAATTTTTTTTAGGTCTCTCCTTTTTTGGCCTCTTTCAGATGTCGATGTGGGACACCTTCAAAAATATAATAAGTTTATAAAAATACACAAAATTGTTCTTGTTATAAACATTTTTGTGTGCACTTATTTTGGTGATCATTTTATGTTTGCTAAACTATATACACTACTAAATAAATATTAACTTGTAATAAATTTTAATTTTTTGTGCATATTCTACGACTACAAAAATACCAAGTGTACGTGTACCCTACAAGTTTGGCTTTAAACAAAAAAATATAGGTATTGTTTTTAAAAAAATTTAAAAAGTTTTTTACCTAAAAAACTTATTAATTTTGAGTATTACTTTTTAACTTGTTTGAAAGACCTGTTGAAATCAGGATTTTTTGAGAAATTCTAACCCTAAAATCGTTAGTTAATATATTTTGTGTTAACAATTTTTAAATAAAGAAATTTCACTTTTTAACTTGTTTGGCAGACCTTTTGTAATTAAATTTTTAAATCCAGTAATAACACAGGTCTACACAATTAAGTAAACAATTTGTTGAAATCAGGATTTTTTTAGAAATTCTAATCGTAAAATCTTTAGTTAACATATTATGTTAATTAGCGATTTTTTAAAGAAAACAAAAAGTATTGGCCTAATTACTTTGTTGAAAAAAAACTTGGGTTGTTATATAAATATTAAACAATTGTATTTTATCCTAATATTGATGTTTTAAAACGGGTCAAATGGAAAATCTTGTGTATTTAGAAGTTATACTTCTTTGGCGTGCAAATAATTTATATGTAGAAGTAGGAAAAACGATAAAATGTTCAAAGAATAAATAAACGTATAAACCGGTTTGAATAATTTTTTTTTTAAATTTAAAAATTTTGTACTACATTTATTAAAATGTATGCCATTTGTTTCACAATTTTTTTTAAATTTGCCACACTGCCAGAGCCAGCTTAAGGCAATTGAGCGCCTTAGGCACTTAAAAATTTGGCTCCTCTAACTAGATACCTACTATACTTACGGGGCCCGGGGAAATTTTAATAAAGCTTATTAGAGCCCAAACTGTTAGCTTAAGGGCGCCCGAGCATTATAACCTATGAATTCCCTATTCCATATGAATTAGAATACTTTTTATCATTAAAAAAATACATAAAAAACATAAATAACATACAAACATAACAAATATACTGTAAATAAAAAGTGTTAGGACTTATAAGTGCGTTTTTCTGATGTCATTAGTAAGTATTAAAAAAAAATTAAATCAACTTTAATTTTCTGTATTTGTATGTTATAACATCTATAGATGTACTGCTGGTTTATTGTAATTAGTTTAATGTTAAAATTTCAGAAATACCTTAAAACAAACAGAAAAATTAACACTATATAAATGTGGATTTAGCCAGCATTTTGTGTAACGTAATCTAACGTATCGTAATTTAATTTAAAAGCCAGGCTTGCTGCTATCACCAAACACACAGAAGTGCCACTCTTGAATAAACGCGAAAACACCCAAGTCCTTCCGGCAGCAGTTTCCTCTAGTATCGCGTACCCGCTGGGGTGAGCAGCACATCACAGCGGGTACCCGATGCAAGAGGAATCCGTGTGCTTGGAGCATACGGGGGTTTTGAAATAGTTTAAAGAGTGCTAAAGATATGTTTATACAGAGTAAAGTTTACAAATTAAATTATCTTTTAAGTTTTTGTTTGCAGTTTAACGTTAAGATTTATTATTATTTGTTAATTATACAGTTAATAATAAAATATCTTATTCTACTTCAAAATGCAGTGCCCTCGTAATCAAGCATGGTGATATAACACCTGATTAATTTTATCTGAAATACATTTATGTATTTGTCATAAAAACAGAAGTGAATTTGCGGCACGCTTTTTTGTCGGCTTTACACCTCGTTATTACAAAGGAAGCTAAATTTTTATAAAATAATAAAATCAGTAAATAATATTCTGTTATTACAATTGTATATTGTTTATTTGTTTTATTTTTGGAAAAAATAAACATTTTGGTAACAATTTTTATTTTTTTTAAGTTGCTTGGGAACAAGGCGCCTATTTCTACGTGGCGCCTAAGGCAATTGCCTTGCCTGCCTAATGGGTAATATGGCCCTGCACACTGCGAATTCTTACTATTTTTTAATTTTAAACTGCTGTGCAGATGTTTCCTACCATTTTATAAATTTATGCATTTATACTTTATAAAGGCAGTTTTTCAATTATCCAATTTTGTTGAAATTTTGACAGTTTTCAATTACCCACTCGGGTTTTCCCTCGTATCTCGTCAAAAGAAGTACAACTTCAAAATATTTAGGTATTGAAAAAAACGAAATAGGTCATTTTTGATATAGGTAAATTTTTTGTGTAATTTTTAAGTTACTCGAAAAATACAATAGACGATAAATGGTAAAATAACTAAAATTAATCCAGAATCATAAGAAATGCAAAAACATAAAAAACTAAAAAATCCAAAAAAAATATGGACCAAAAATCATTTCCAATAAATCTTGTCCAAGACACTGATTAAAATAAATAACAAATTTGCCACTTGACCTCGGAATTTTATCAACTTTCCTAAAAATCTGTGCAATGTTATGTTAGTAGTACTTAAACAAAACAAAAAAATCACGAACATGCGAAAACATATTAAAAATGAAAAACCTTGCAATAGGTAGCTGTGTTTGTCTTGTTGGCAAGTTCACATGATACCTTCTAAAAAGATTAAAAATGTATCAGTAAAAAACAATTAATAAGTATTAGATAAAATTTAAAAAGCTAGAAATAATTATATTATTAAACTATAAAAAATAGCCTTTGGGTTACCTATTATGAATATAGAAAAAAACGCAAAAAATGCAATTTTTTATAAAGTATTATACGCTAAAGAAGCA